AAAATATATATATATATATATATATATATATATATATATATATATATATATATATATGTGTGTGTGTGTGTGTGTGTGTGTGTGTGTGTATATTCCTTGAAATTAACCTTTTTTTACCACCAAAAAATACACGTGTAAAGCCTGAAATATACAGTTGGGTCTATAAATATTTTACATCAACACATTTCTAACAGTTTAGGCTCTATACAACAACTTCATGGATTTTAAATGAACCGAACAAGATGTGCTTTAACTGCAGACTGTCAGCATTAATTTGAGGGTATATACATTGAACAGCTTAGAAGCCAATTGTCCAATTACTTTTGGACCCGTAACAAGTGAGAGGCACATATGCAAACTGTTGTAATTCCTACAGCGTTTACCTGAAATACCCTCAAAATAAAGATGACAGTCTTGTTCGTTTCATTGCAAATTAATTGTGTTGGTGTATAGAACCAAAAATGTTAGAATTGTGTTGATGACCCAATATTTAAGAACCAAACTGTCTTTCAATTTAAACATGTATGCAAAGCTTAGGATATATGTCAAGACATAAATAAAAAATGTACTCAAGGTACTCAAGAGCAGTGTTCTCGCGCGCCTACTGAAGGGCTGTATGTGTCGCGGGGGCACTTTTGATCATTTTGGAAGGGCATTTACTATCCAAGACTAAAACGGGCATGTGCACTGCACAGGTTGACCCCTATGTGTGCACATGCCTGGTTGTTGCATATGGATTTAAACAACAACATACTCATCAGAGGGTTGATTTAATTAGGTCAGATCTTGTGAAGATTTGTAGTGTATGAAAATGCAATATGCAATATAGGCTCACTCTGAAAACGTAGCCCTATATGCGTTTCTGGAGATTGCGAATAATGTAGCCAGAAGTATGTATGGCTGCATATCATTTTTAAAACGAACGCTACAGGGCAGTGTGACATCGTTTCTTTTCGGGCTTACTAGCTGACCGTTTACCTCTATATAGACGGCTTTCCTGCTGATAACAGATTGTCCAGTCAGCTTGCGTTGAACGTCGGTGGACTTGGATGCCCATGACAATGGAGTTCAAGTTCGGTGAGGAACAGTTCCAGACAAAAGTTGGTAGGACAAAAACGGAATCAAAAAAAAAAAATTAAACAAATAAATAACAGCGTGAGAATGTGGTAAAATCTGAAAACGTGTTTAAAATCAAGTGAGGGCTTTTTCTGAATTGCTTTTCAAAATTGTCTGTTGATCTTAGGAGGTTGGTGGGCAGGTCAGTATGTGCTTTTGAAAATACTATTGGTTGAGTTTAGGGAAGGAGGAGGAAAGGTCAGTTGATCGGTTAGTCAATCAGTCAGGCAGTCAGTAAGTGGACAGCGGCCTCTGGTGGATTTACTTAAGGACAACAGGCACGAATGCCACTCACAAGAGAAGTTTGAGATCTCAAAAAGCACACACAGCGGCCTCTGGTGGATTGGGTTTAGTCAAGAAGGAGGGCAGGTTTGTCAATCCCTCAGTAAGTCAGTCATTTAGTCAGTCGACAGCAGCTTCTGGTGGATTTACACAAGAAGAGCAGCAGAAATATGGCACTCGTGAGAGAAATTTGAGATCTGAAAAAGCAAACACAGCGGCCTATGGTAGATTCATGAAAACAAAAACGGCAATAAATGTAGCTACTGGGATGTAATTGGTACTCTCCAGAAATGTATATAGGGGTACATTTTCAGAAGGAGCTTGGGTTGTCAATGTTGCTAATTTTATTGACCCCCATACCCCCTTTTTTATATATGTTGAATTTAACTATTGTTATTATTATTACCCCTCCCCTCCCCTTTTTCTGTTCATTTGTTTGTTGTTGTATCTGTATTGCCTGAAAATTTAATAGAAACATTTAAAAAAACAAGAATGAGAACGTGCAGTGCATATACTGCAACACATATTTAATTTGCCATAATAGAAAACAAATATTTTACGCATGCAGCTTTCAAAATAGTATACGTTGGGCTAAGCAGTTTTGACAACTGTATCCAAATAAAACTGTTATCGTCAGACATTATTAAACTGTTTATGTACAGCTCTCCAGTCAAATCCAGTACAGGGACAGTTTTTCTTTAAGCAAATGTTTTTTGGTGGTTCTCCATTAAACTCTGCTTCATTTATACAAAAACAAAACATAAATCCTCCCATCTGATCTAGAATGACAGATTTAAGTTCCTTAATCTCTCTTGCTTATTTTCATGAGCATATCATGTATTTGTTATTGCAATCATTATCTTCCGTAGTCTTTCAGAGACCATATAGATTTATAAATACATCTCCAGCTCATTAGATGAGAAGATTCCCTGATGTGCCACAATTGAGTTATTAAGAGTCACATTTAGAAAACACCATTATTCCTGCCGATACAGACTGATGCAGGTGAGCACCACAAATAGAGATCTGAGGTCATCTCAGACCTTGGAGAAACACGGCTATTGTGCATTCTTAGTCTACACACTAGGTCATTTTCCATTGACTGGGTCACGTCTTACCTCATCTTTCTCAATGGCATATGTAGAGCCAAACTGGAGCTTGTCTTGAGACTTAGTCACTCCTCTGAGCTTACTAATTATTAGTAAAACAACATTCATTCTCAATGTGTATTTGTGTCCTCTCATAGATCTTGAATTCAGGGGTCATTTTGACCAGCCTTCAAAATGAGATAGTTTTGAGAATTCTGTCATCATTTACTCACCCCTGACTTATTTCCAACCCAGGATCATTCCGAAAATGTAGCACTATATACATTTCTGGAGACTGCCATATACGTACCAGGAGTTTTTTGTTCAGTTTTTGTTTTAGTGAATCCACTACTGTGCACACTTTTTGAGATCTCAAATTTCTCCCGCAAGTGCCATTTAAAGCTGTGCTTTCTGCGTAAATACGCCAGGGGACGCTGTCAACTGACTGACTCCCAGATTGACTGACCCACACTCCCAGAAAAAAAATGGTACAATGTTGTACCAAAAAAAAACCCTTGTCACTATAGGGCAGTACCTTTTCATGGGACAGAATTGTACTTATTTGTACCATTGCAGTTTGTTTCTTTAAGGACACGCTTTGTATCATTGGAAACCAAAATGTACCTTTGGTTTTTAAAACATGTAGATACAATATTGTACCTCTATCAAAGTTACAAATCTGATCCATAAAGATTCCACAACCATGACAAGACACTTTGTTCCTAACAGTGTCAAAATGCTTAATAAACATTTATTTAAAATGCCTTAAATGTTTAGTTTACAATACCTGTGGTTTTATGTTTGACCAGTTGTTTGTATTATTGTATTATAGAACTTAATAAAAAATGTTTATTCGTTAATCTAAACATACTTTTAAATATTTGGGGTTCTTCCACCCGACCACTTTTTACCCTCTCATTTTGTAGACTTTGTAGCCTTCTTAACCCTTCTGGCTAGGCGATTGATTCATCTGAACTGGAAGAGCCCTCACCCTCCTTCTGATACATGTTGGATGAGAAATGTTCTTTATTTTATGAAAATAGAAAAAATTAGTTACTTTCTTCACCGACCTTGCACTATTTTTATTAAATTGTGAGAACCCCTTCACAAACATGTCCAAACTCTTTAGCTTGACCCTGCTCCTTCTGATTGAGTCCCCACCCCCCAATATCCAGTTTTTTTTTATCTATATCTGGTCAACACATTGTAGACTTGTTTTTTCTGCATATAAGATTGCACTAGTGTTGTTGTTTATTTATTTATTTACTTATTTTTATTATTTTTTATGTTTATTATTTTATTTTTGCTCAAAATACTCTTCAGTGTATTTGCTTATTGCTACATGTTTATGTCTTTGTATATTTTTGTAATGTTTCACAATGTATAAATAAAACATTTTTTAAAAAAACTTACTGTTAAATGATTATTCTTGCTTTAATATGGAAATTATTCATATAATCACTTTGCCTTTCCGGTAATATTTATTTTCATAGATATTGTATTTTTTAAATGAGAACAATTGTGTACCTTCATCTCAATTGAACCATAAAAGGCACAGAACAGTTTCATAAGAGGTCTTTTCTGTGCCATATACAGAAAATATATATTTTGTACAAAGGTACAAAACTGCTCCTCGAGGAACATTATTTGTACTACTGTATACCTTTTTTCTGAGAGTGCACCATCCTCCTTCCCTAAATCGAACCGATAGTGTTTTCAAAAGCATCGATTGACCTGCCCATCCACTTCGCTAAACCCAACAGACAGTGTTTTTAAAAAGCAATCAAGAAAAAGAAGAGCCTTTGCATGATTTTTACCACTTTTTTAGATTTCATCAGAGGCGTTGCTAGGGTTGAAAGAGATAAGGGCCTCAGCCCCATAGAAGACCCCCCCCCCTGCCTCCCCTTTACTAGTCTGCCTTCACTAGTCTCTTATGAGCCGTATCATACCTCTTGAGCCTCCTATCTCCTCCTCATTTGCAGTTTTGAAAATGAGTTGTTAGCCAATGTGATACAAAGCTCAAACATGGTCATTTGGACAGAGTGATTTACTGAGGTGTGGTCTTGTCAAGATACTGGAATTTCTAAATTCAGTTCCTTGCAAAATATTGATATTCAATAGGCTACTATTTTGATAACAATTGTATCCAAAATAGTACAAAAAATAAAATAAAGTTCTATATGCTAGTAAAATGTTTTCTTCAAATTTCTTTAGAGGGAGATTTTTTTTCAGTTTTCAAAACAGTTAGATTTTTTATTATTAATTTATAGAAGATTATAGAAGAATATAAGCTGAAAAGAATATAATATAAAACTATATGAAATGATAACCGATTTTTCATTTTTGGGTGAACTATGCCTTTAAATCAGGCAGTAAATACACAACATAAATAAATACATGTGTATTTTGTCATGCCAGAATATTTATTTTTAAGCATTTGGCAGAAATAATTGTCTTTGCAGAGAGTCTAACTGCTGATGCTGATGTTGTCAACATAAAGCACCCTACATGTAGCCTATTTAATTGTAAAATGTAATATGTCCAGCTCCCTGCGCCCTGCATAACCATTTTGGGGATGGATGAAAGGTTAAAATAGTAGTTATGTTTTAAAATTATGTTGCACTTTTAAGCCTATTATTTCCTAGGTAATGTCTATGTGTTAAAACCCCATAGACTCAACAACACTTTACTGTGTTTTATAAAAGCACAACAATAAATAGGCTATATAGGCTGAATGAATGGATAAATTCTGATCCCACAACGCGTTCAAAATCAAATGGAATAGGTACATGAATTTATATTGTAAGCCTACTAAGAAAACAAGACAGATGGGCTCTTCAATTCCGAAGATCACAACACGCCATCTTCCCTAATCCTTTATTTAATACATCTGACGCCAACACAATTACGCACATTCCTCTTTGACAAAATAATGCGCTTCCCCCATTTTACACATCCTTCAGGATAAAAGGTTACATCCACACACTCAAGTGCCTTTGGTGCTAAATCTCCAGTGAAAACTGCAGTCTTGCCTGTTGAGCGGCAGCGCGCGCGTGAAAGGTCTCCAGACATGAAGTTTGGCGCGCTCCATCTCACGAAACACTAAAACTATTTCACCGTCAGAAGTGTCTCGTATTTTTGAGCTCGCAAGACATTTATCATATTTAGAAGACACTTTTATTTCCGCCGATACAGGCGAAGGGTTGCAGTGAGGCAGTGCAGCTGGTTAACGGACTGTTTCAGATGGAGAGCGTCACATGAGATCTGATGTCATACGGGACGCGCGGCAGAAGCAGCTGCTCTCGTAAGGTGGCAGTCAGTCATCAATTGAATAGGAGCGGGCCAAAGAAATCCACGCATTGCGCACAGGCATCACTATTGTTTTCAAACCTTGGGATTTTCGTCTTAAACTACCTGTTTAAAATTCACAACAAGGTAAGACTCGAATATTTGATTTTTTTAAGTATGCGATATGCTTTTTACAGGTAAAGTGCAGTGTTTGGTGTATATATTTAACAAACGCATATTTAAAAAATGTTTTAAAGTTATTAATGTAATTATTTGATAATTTTCTCATCCTGAGGCAACCGAACTTTTTTACTGACTCAATATTTTGTTAAACGACCAGACGATGGACAGCAACGTGGTGCAGATTTTTAAGGAGGATAAATGCCCCTCATCTCACCCTGAGAAGTGTTTACCTAACTTCACATGGCAATCTGCCGTCTCGGACATTTATAACAGTTCTCTGAATGAAAGCTGGACGACCGAGCAGGAAGCTATGTCCCCTCTCATTCCGATCATCACTGCCGTTTACTCCGTGGTGTTTGTTGTTGGACTGGTGGGAAACTGCCTGGTGATGTATGTCATTATCAGGTAAGAAACAGCATTGTCCTAAGATATGCCTTATATTATTTATCACATCGGTACGTTTAAATGTCCTTTTTAGAATTTTGCCTTTACTTTTCAAAGCTGCTGATAGACTTAATTCATGCCAAGCATTTGCGATCGGCTGGTTTGGACGAAATACCTGCTTTATGAGAGACATTTGGTGAAGGATTTAAATTCAGTTTGGCTCCCCCCAGTGGAATGAAATATGATCGCACAATGCAGTCAAAATTGCCTTGACGTACCCTCACCCGCCACTTTATCAGGTACAAAAAGTGCTTTTTTTGTGCGCCAATTCCGAGTTGCACTTTTTCTTTAGCTGTAGAACTGCTTTAATTCTTTGCAGTGTTTGGTTAATTCAACAAGTATCCCTCAGAGGTCTGCTTGACATGTATTTTCACTGCATTCACTGCACATGATGTGGATCACATCACATTGTACAGTTGCTTTGTCTGTGGGATCGAGATTTTAGTGAGATTGGAGGCCATTTTAGTTGTGAACCCATGTTCAAGAAACCAGTTTATAATTATTTGAACTTTGTGGTGTGAAGTGTTATCCTGCTGGAATCAGAATGAGCACATTGTGGTCATAAAAGGGTGGATACGGCCAGCAACAGGCTATGACATTAGTAATGGACATTAAGCGAATCCAAAAAAATAAGAGAAATCGAGATTCTTCACACCAGGCAAGGTTTTTGCATTCCTCTATTGTATCAGCCAGTGTAAATTGTAGCCTCTGTTTGCTGCTGTTAGCTGACAAGGAGTGTCACCAGTGGGCGGGTGTATCTCATCTGCTTCAAGGTTTGTTTGTTTGTTTGTATGTTTTGTTGTGCAGACCTTAGTTGTAAATGAGTAGTTACCATCTTAAATATAAAGGTTACAAAAAACGATTTTATAGCAAAGCCATTGAAGAACCAAATGTTTTCTTAGTGTGTGAGGAGCATTTTAATATTCTAATGTTTTTCCTCTATAAAGAACATTTTTTGCAATGCAAAGTTTCCATGGATAATTCATTCATTTTTCTTCCGCTTAGTCCCTTTATTTATCAGTGGTCGCCACAGCAGAATGAACCGCCAACTTATCCAGCATACGTTTTACACAGCAGATGCACTTTCAGCTGCAACCCAGTACTGGGAAACATCCTTACACTCTCATACACACACATGCACACACATACATTACCATTCATTCATTTTCTTTTTCGGCTTAGTCTCTTTATTCATCAGGGGTCGCCAGAGTGAAATGATTCACACACATACACTACGGCCAATTTAGCTTACCCAATTCCCCTGTACCACATGTCTTTGGACTTGTGGGTGAAACTGGAGCACCTGGAGGAAGCCCACGCGAACACAGGGAGAACATGCAAACTCCACACAGAAATGCCAACTGGTCCTCCCGGGACTCGAACCAGCAACCTTTTTGATGTGAGGCAATGGTGCTACCCTTTAGTCACTTAAACTACCTTTCCTCCACCTTTTGTATTCTTGGTTTAAACTGCAGCAGATTGACTTTATCACGTCTACATGTCAAATCTATTGGTTTGGTGCAATGTGATTGGTTGATTCTGTATTTGGGTTTACTAATGGTTGAACAGGTGAAACTAATAAAGTGGCTGGTGGGTGTATGGTGCTTTTATTAAGGTCTTTGCCTGATCCATGTTCTGTATAAATCTTTTATTATGATATTTGCTTAAATGAGTAAGCATAAATGAATAGTCCCTAGCAGATTACACAAAAAAAAAACACCTAGTTTATATTTCAATTGTTACTTTCTAAAAAAAAGTATTAATAGAAAAAAACTGACAATTAAGAGTGCTATTTTAGAGGGAAAATGAACGTCCATGTAATGCTGACAGAATGGAGCTGCATGGAAAAGTAATGTCACAAAACAATGAGAAAGCAATTAATTTCTTTGCCCAATAAGGTTAAAGCCATACATACAGTTGAAGTCAGAATTATTAGCCCCCCGGTTTATTTTTTCCCCAAATTTCTGTTTAAAGGAAAGAAGAGTTTTTTCAACACATTTCTAAACATAATAATTTTGATAACTCATTTCTAATAACTGATTTATTTTATCTTTGCCATGATGATAATATTTCACTAGATGTTTTTAAGACACTTCTATACAGCTTAAAGCGACATTTAAAGGGTTAACTAGGTTAATTAGGTTAACTAGGCAGGTTAGGGTAATTAGGCAAGTTATTGTATAACAGTGTTCTGTAGACTATCGAAAAATATATGGCTAAAAGGGGCTAATAATTTTGACACTAGAAAGTTTTTTTTTTAAATTAAAAACTGCTTTTATTCTAGCCAAAATAAAACAAATAAGACTTTCTCCAGAAGAAAAAATATTATCAGACATACTGTGAAAATGTCCTTGCTCTGTTAAACATCATTTGGGAAAGATTTAAAAAAGAAAAAAAAATTAAAGGGGGGCTAACAATTCTGACTTTAACTGTACTTTAGCAAAGCATGGCCAGTAAACTTGAATACTGTCACAAAAGTGATCCAAAAAATAAAGGGCGGTCTTGTGGGAGGCCTGTTAAGATGTCAACGCCATCCACAGAGTTATAAATTATTACAACAGTTGGCTGAATGATTAAAAAGTCAAACTTTGACACCATAAATCTTTCACTGCATGGCTGTCATTCATGAAGGAAGCCACTGGTGAAGCCAATGAAAAAAATAGGACTACTGGAACTCTACACTTTGAAGTGGTGTGAAAGAAATTCACATATTTCGACTCTGCTCCTATAGATTCCAAACTGTGTGGCATCCCAAGCCTTATACTCAAGAATGGAGAAAGAAAGTTGTTACTATATACAACACTCGATGTATAAAACAATTGGCACTGTTCTTAAAAATCAAGCAGGCCATAAAATATTACAATTATTAAAATATTTTGCAACGCCTATCTTCAAATAAAGATATTAATTGTCTTATTATAAACATGTGAGGTTATCACACTCTTATATTAATAATTCTTTTTTTATTCAATAAAACTTTGTAAAAATGCAGCAAATTAGAAAAAAAATCTTGAAACGGGGGTTTACTCATTTATGCTGGACACTGTAACCTTTGTGCAGATAGCATGTGTTATTTCGGAAATGTTTGAGATAAAGAACTGCACAGTTCTTACTTGTTAAATAATAGATCACAGCACAGGCTGTCATCATGACCAGATAGACTCGACCTGTGAATTATATATAACATCTTTAAATGACAAACCACTGACAGACAAATGTTTGAAAACATTGGGGAGTTTGTTGCGTATGCGGCCTGAAAGCAATCTCATGCATGAATTTATTATGGTGATGGGTTGTATTTGATTTATTTTGACACTCTTTCATCCTCAATCAATTTCCCAACAGATACACCAAAATGAAAACCGCCACCAACATCTACATTTTCAACCTGGCTGTCGCAGACGCTTTGGTAACCACCACCATGCCCTTTCAGAGCACAGATTACCTGCTGAACTCTTGGCCATTTGGAGAGGTGGTTTGTAAAGTTTTTATCTCCATCGACTACTACAACATGTTCACCAGTATCTTCACTTTAACCATGATGAGTGTGGACCGATATGTGGCCGTCTGCCATCCCGTCAAGGCCCTGGACTTCCGGACACCAATGAAGGCTAAGATCATCAACATCCTCATCTGGGTGCTGTCCTCGGCTGCTGGGATCCCTGCAATGGTTCTTGGAAGCACTCAGACGAACAATGGTAGGGATGAATGATACTGTATACATTAGGGCTGGGCGATTCGGCCTACATTTGAACATTGAACATTTTAACTTGATTACGATTAATGAACAATTAATTAATTAATTATTTAATTTTACCCTCATAGTTCACTGACAAGTTTTATATGACGTCTAAAGGCATCTCTGGCGCAGCTTCCAATCATTGTCAACATAGTGCAAAGTAAGGCTCAAGAATGAGTCCATCGTCCTACTTGACCAGAGATCAGATGTGGCTGCAAAGTGCCTGTAGAAGTAAAAATCAGGCACAGTCTTCAACATAGCGGCGTCACGGGACATGTAGGGAAAGTTATTTTAAAAATCGTCCTGGTAAAATTTGATCGATTACAGGTACTGAATGTCGATTTTGATTCATTTTCAATTAATCGCCCAGCCCTGGTATATATACAGTCTGGGGTTGGTAAGATTTTTAAATTCCACCATTTTTAAAATTTATTTATATTTTATTAAAAAGAAACACACACAAAAATGTGTTTAATTTTATTCATGTGATGGCAAAACTGAATTGTCAGCATTATTACATTACACTGACCATCACATGATGATTCAAAAATTGATCTGATGTGTTATTCAGGTAACTTTTCTTACTTTTATCAAGGCTGAATATAGTTGTGCTGGTTAATAGTTCTAGATACCATGATGCTTTTTTACCTTTTTATCAGTTGGAATGTTAAAATGAACTGCATTTTTAAATATAGTTTAGATTATCGATAAATTCCATTACTTTTAGTTATTTACCATAATAAATAAAACTATCATTTTTACTAAAAAAAAAAAAAACTGTTCCAAGGCCTAACTTTTGAAAGGCATTAATTGCGGGCACATATTAGTTTTTGACAATATTGAATATTTAGGGTGTGTTCTATAACTCTCAAACATATTTAACACTCAAACAATATATAAAAGAACTTTGCTGATTTTAATAAATCACAAGTTTCATAATGATTTGTTTTATACTGTAAGTTATCATTTTGGCAACTAACACTGTGAAACAAAGACTGTAAAAAAATCTGGTTGACATGATGGCGCCTTTTTCCACTGAACACTTTGAGTGCAAAATGCCCCCTGACGGGCACAAACTGTCGCAAAAAAAAACTGCTGAAATTGGAGGCTGGCATGTGCAGAAGGGCTACCTGATGGAGCAAGAGGTGAAGCTGAGGAATCAAACCTCCAAACAAACGCTTGTATGTCAAATCAACCACACACCCCCGAACTTCTTATTTGACCGCCTGTATCTACACTGCAGAGGCTTGCTAAAACAAATATAAGCACTTACATTTAAAAACATGTAATAATTTAAGATTTATTTAAAAACTGTGTGATTTAAGCAGTTTTTTTTATAATTTAATAAATAGAATATATGTTGGACTGCAAAATAATTGATCTTTCATACACTCTAGCCTAAGTTAGACTCAGCTATGAGGACAATAAATATTTCTCTTATAATGAGTTGTTGGTATTTATTATCTTCATAGGCATAAAAATAATATAAAAACAACTCTACATTATTAGAAAGGTTTTTATTTTTATTCAGCAATAAACAGGACTGAAAATATTCACAACACGGACAGCTATTGGCCATGTGGGAAAAATTGTGTGTGGTTATATTAGCAAAAGATAAAAACAGTAAGATTTCTAAATATTAACAGGATATTTACACATCCTATGCCTGCATTATATAAAATAGTTTTATCAATTTGTACAATAAACTTAGCAGTTTTAAGACATCGACTGATGCCTATTAGCTGCTGCAACATCGACGGTTATATTGTTTATCTGTTTTTTCTGCGCCTTCATTTTCATTTGGTTTATTTGATGCCTTCATTATATCTGGCAAAGAGGATTCATTTTAATGTTTATTAGGAGGTTTCAAAGAAAAAGCCAACAATAAATGATGCATATAAATAATATATAAAATTTACATCTCAATTTGTTTAATAAGATTCTGTTTCTAGAACATTAATATTTAAAAACAGCAAATTCAGTAGATTAACTCAATAACATGCTGAAACTCAAAATGTCAGAGAACATTAATATCATACATTTCTATCATATAAAACATCCAAAAGAAATCACAAATCAACCTATTATCTATTCAAGAGAATAATACAATAATACAATACTTTATTGTCAGACTTGCATCTGAATTTGTTCTTGCATAACAGCATGATAAATGCTTCTTACAAAAAGACAAAGACATACAAAAATAATAATAATTAATTTTACATGGGCCTTATTCAGCTCCAAGATAGCCTGATATACAAATAATTTTTTTAATTTCACCTCATTAAAACGTGGGACTCTAAATTGACGGTTAGATTTTAATGGTATAAATTCTTGGTTCAACACATGACTATAGGGCTTGAAATGATGTTCCTTGCCAGCCTTTGAGGTTCATGTAATACGAACAGTCATATAATTTACCCTACTTTACTCAGGGGGACCAAAACAATCCCAAATCTTCTTCTAATAATAGATGGGACAGTCAGTTCTTCACTTCATCCTGATGTGTTTGTTGTTCCTACTTATTATAGCAAGCATGATTAACCTGTCCTCACTTCTGCTTAATAATTAACCGCTGTTGTTTCATATTTGATCCGCAGGCACGACAGAGTGTGCTCTGCAGTTTCCAGACCCGTATGTCTACTGGGACACATTGATGAAGATCTGCGTCTTCATCTTTGGCTTCGTGGCTCCTCTTCTCATCATCACCGTTTGCTACACTCTCATGGTTCTGCGCCTCAAGAGCGTTCGCCTGCTTTCAGGTTCACGTGAAAAAGATCGCAACTTGAGACGCATCACTCGATTGGTTCTGGTTGTGGTGGCAGTGTTCGTTGTGTGCTGGACCCCCATTCACATCTTCATCCTGGTCAAAGCTCTTTCGCACGGTGTGCCGGAGACCACATCGGTCATGGCTGCCTACTTTTTCTGTGTGGCGTTGGGGTACACCAACAGCAGCCTGAACCCCATTCTGTACGCCTTCCTTGATGAGAACTTCAAGCGCTGCTTTAGGGACTTCTGCTGCCCAGGTCGGACTGCAGGCGACGGGCGTGGGGTTAGTCGGGTCAGAAGCACTCTCCGAGAGCACACGTGCCCAGCAGAGGCCAAAAATGATGGAGGCCAGGGTCGACCCGTATGACTAGCCGTGGAGCTGTCATCTTTTCATGGTCGAGAGGACTCCAATGACTTGGGACTGACACAGATCACAACCGCCATCTGAGGAAGGGATTGTGGCGTTTAGGTTCAGGCGAGGGCGCTTAGGAATCTGTGATTGAGCAAAAAGGCTTTGTTCATTCAGTATGTCCATATAAATATTTACGGCATCACCTCATTTAGAGTTTACTTTCTCATCCCCGTTGACCAAAGATGGAATGTCATGCTCAAACAGGCTTTTGCATAATGTTACTAGTCCTTTAGGGTATATATGTAAGATTTTCCTTACCTGCGTCGATGCAATGCTTCTTTTGGTGTTGAAAGGATTTGGAGAGAGTAATGAGTATATAAAAATGGCACTGTTTATTCGTTTGGTCTTGGTGGAATAGATCTGCTATGCTGCTGCTGCTTTGATTACCAAGACTCTATATATTCACAGACACTCTGTCTAAGAATATATCACACTCCTGCTGCAAGCACAACATACATTAATTCCCCAATAGCAGATCTATACACAAATGGAACTGAGGTGGAGGAGGGCTCCTAAAAACATGCTGCAGATTGCTAATGCAAATGGCACTGACGTATTTCAGAGCTGAGGCGACAGCAATCATTCACCTGCGCCATGTAGTTGAAGGAGATGGTCCTGTTTAAGTATAGTTTAGGACTAAACTGACTGCACATGCATTTTTATGAAACACGCAGTCAGTTTACTGGCTTTCCACCATTATTTAACACCCACCAAAACATGTCTTAAAGCAGTGTCTTAACCATATTCCTGGAGGACCACCAACACTGCATGTTTTGCATGTCTCCTTTGTCACACTCATTACAGGTCTTTCAGTCTCTGTTAATGAGCTGATGATCTTAATCAGGTGTTTGGTTAAGAAGACATATAAAATGTGCAGAGCTGGTGGCCCTCTTGGAAAGTGGTTGAGAAACATGGTCTTAAAGGAGTGGTATAACTAAAAAAGTTTTTTTACTCACCCTCAAACTGTTTCTAACCTTTTCGTTAAACACAAAAGGAGACATTCTATAAATGCCGAAACCAATAGCCACTGACATTCATAGTAGGAAAAATACAATGTTAGTTAGTGGCTACAGTTGCCAACATTCTTCAGAATGTCTTCTTTTGTTTTGAATTGCTAAAGGAAACTCAAACAACAAAGTAGAGGGTGAGTAAAAGATCACAGAATTTCCATTTTTTGCTTGAACGAACACTTAAAGACATGTTCTGCTTGTCATGCAGCGATATTTGCTGATTGGAGGAGCACAGAAAAAAGACAGCAAGGGGAGTGCAGAAAAAAGAGAGCAAGTGACTGCTGAAGAAAAAAAAACCTTTTAGTAAAATCATTATCTATTTTCAAACTATTACACTAATGCCTCATTCAAATCTGTATTCACAACTTATTATGTATCCCTATTTAATGAAGAAAAAAAGGTCTCAATGAAACTCTTTTCATCACTTTTGTGTGATAAATCCTTTGGCATATAAATGGCTAGATTTGCTTATAGTTTTAAAAGCTAGTATGCCAAGCTTTTTTGGCATTAACACACTACTGTCAGAAATTTCCTAAAGCGCACAGTGAAAAAGCAAGTTTTTTTTTTTTTTTTTTTTTTCATTATTCTCTTGCGGCTGACCTTAAAGAATCTATTTATAAGAGCTTTCCTTTCAGAAACAAAATCTGTGGAAGGAAATCATTTAAATGCATTATGCATCATAACTGACTAAGCTTAACTTTACTTAATGTGATGGTTTTGCACCATTATTTATCACCCAAAAACATAGTTTTTTTTCATTGTACATGCTGTGATGGTTGCTCAAAGGATGAGGAACATAAACAAAAAAAAAAAAAAACAGATTGAATGACTGCTAAAAACTTTTAGTGAAATCATTGTCTTGTTTTGAATGTTCATATTCACTTCATACTTCGCCTATTCACATTTAGTATAACCTCATACAAATCTCCCATTGACCAAAGAAGATTCAAATCTGCTCCATTACAATCCAAAATAGACTTTTCTGTAGTGTTATAAGTTATTTGGGATCTATAGGGCCAGACTAACTTGTGACAGCAAGAACCCTTGTTTGGCATTGCTGTCAAAATGACTCCAAAGATATTTGGCGAACTTACGGTGACACGGTTAAATTAATAGCTGTTTTGAATGTCATCACTCAATTGAATGGGTGTTATCATTGGTTATCAGCTGATATATATGGGCTGGTAGGCTCAGAAGGCTGTCATCATCCATCCACATCGTTAGTCAGTTATAGATCACATGCATCTGCGGCTTGAAGTTAACAATTTAATTTACAATTTAAAGTTATTTTTTATTATTTATTAAATTTCCCATTAATTGTATTTTATTAACGTCTACCTCTACCCCAATCCTAAACCTAACCGTCACAGTAATGTAAAAACAGATCTGGATTCAGAGTCTTCTCTTTTAGTATGGCTTACTACCCATGTGGATGGATGATAACAGCCTTCTGAGCCTACCAGTAGATGCAGAAGGCCCCTACTGTACCACTATTTATCAGTTAATAACCACTGATAATGCCCATTTATTGAAGTGATAAGATTTGAATCAGGTGTAAATTGATGGGAGTAGAGTGTTAAAATGATTCATAAGGTGTAATTTTTGTGGTTAGTATTGATGCTAGTGCCATTACTAATAGTGGTCCAAGAAACACATCTTCTTTTTATTTTGCAGTTGAGATGCTGTGATAGTAGCATTAAGTGGAGTATCACACTTATGGTCATTTAAAAAAAGAAGAAATTATCTAAATATCAATTACCAAATCACGTTGTTTTTAATTTGTGCTGCTCTTTGTAGACTTTATTAGTCATTATGCAAAAAAGCTGCTGCATCCATGTTCTTTAATTTTGCACATTGTAAGTAGACTCCTCACAGAACTATCCACTCACATGTCTGCTTCTATGGGATTGCAATCTCAGGCTTGTTTGTCCTGTTTAGTAGATTGTATATTACTGGTATGCCTGTTATATTACTCAAACATGTAGTTTATCTTGGGTTAACGTGATTAAAAAATAGCGTAGCCAAAAACAAAAGCATTGTACATTTGCATCTGTTTGTACTGTAAATAGTTTGTGTTGGTTTATAAAACCATCCTCTTTTATATATTTAAAAAAATCTATGTATTATAATAAGTGGATTCATAATTATCACTCAGGAAATTATAAAAGTCTAACGATGGAAAAGTAAATAATGTAGGCTACAGTTTGCAATTTGAGTAAAGTGAGTGAAGTGCTTTCAGAACTGCTTACTGACTGAAAAGTGCTTTCTATTCTCTGTGTTTGATTTAGATCGAGGGATTATGTATGAAAAGGATTACAATGATTATGTATGAAGGATTACGTATCTTTGTTGCCTTGGGAATCTAAGGATTGTTGTGTGTTTATTTGGGCATAGGGCTTTAAAACAACCAACTAAGGAACTGAGTCTACTTATTTGGGTTGTTTATGCTTCATATAGTGTATTATTATTTCCATGACCGTTGATGTACATCTCTATTGCATGAAAAAATGTGGGTATCCTTGAGTAATGTTAATGTAAATAAAAAATCCTTCATGTGATCAAGTACAATGAAACTGTATATAGTTAATGTCATGTATATATAAATTCCAAGACTTAGCATACATTTGTATTCTTCTAATGTCGTTTTGTTTTGCTGGGTTTATCTGAGAGTCTGTTATCGAATATGTTCACTCATCAGAAGAAACTGTATGTGAACACATCATCAGTGCTCTATTGCCACAAATGTATTAGGAATTAATTGCAAAATTCTTGTTTTAATAAATGTAATGCCTTTTGTGCCTTTTTTTTTTTTTTTTTTTTGGTGAATCTATTAGTGCTGGGCAAAGATTAATCGTGATTCAAGAGTTCACACTTAATTGATGATTAATTATAAACTACTTTGGCATGCTGTCTCAGGAGAGAGCCCTGAGCTCATAAGATACTTGAGCCCGGGGCTCCCTCCCATTGCAAGGGGTTTGAGCTCAGGTAGATCTCGGAAACTCCCCTGCTGTAGTAACTAATGAACAGACAGTGATTGCTCTTAAGAGGTAACTACTTACTAGGAGCATGTCTATAGTGCCGATTTGGATAAGTCATTTAACATAAGTTGCATGTTTTTGTACGGTGGGAGGAAACCGGGAAACCCGGGGGAAACCCACGTGAGCACGGGGAGAAAGTGCAAACTCCGCACAGAAACGTCTACTGGTTTGGTAAAGCCTGGAACCAGAAACATTTTTGCTGTGAGGCAACAGTGCTAAGCACTGGGCCACTGTGTCACCCATCTAGGAAGAAGGAGGAGTTGGGGTGGATGGGGTGATTCCTCAAAACGAAGATACTGGTGGTACGTAACCCAGGGTATTTGTAGTAGCTAAGGAGTCGTCTGATTGGTGCATTAAGAATTGGATGATGCGGATCCAGCCGCTAGCAATCATAACATTTACATTTAGTCATTTAGCAGACGCTTTTATCCAAAGCGACTTACAAATGAGGACAAGGAAGCAATTTACACAACTGTAAGAGCAACAATGAATAAGAGTTGTAGGCAAGTTTCAGGTATGTAAAGTGTAAGAAGCAAAACAGTTGTAATTAATATTTTTTTTTTTTTTGTAATAAAGTTAAGCCACGTGATCCTCTCTCAAGAGTTTACACTTAGCTGATGATTAATTATAAGCTACTTTGGTATGCTGTTTGTATGTAAAAGTTTGTATGTGCATAATATATGTACTGTGTATATTTATGCACTGTGTATGTAAGTGCACTGTTTATATTTATTATGTGTTCAATCAAAAAATGACTTCTGCTGCTTGTTCAAACTACTCATTTAAAATGAGTTGAAACAACCCAATTCTTAAGTTGTTTTTGGGACAACCTAATTGTTGAATCCACTTAAATTTGTGAAAATTATTAGGTTATTTAATTGTTTTGTGTTTGGGACACCATGAAGGAATTGTGTGGAATTCAGCCTCATTGACATTGTAAATATATAGTTGAGTCAGAATTAAAAAGTCAGAATAGCCCCCCTGAATTATTAGCCCCATGAATTATTAGCACCCCTGTTTATTTTTTTCCCCAATTTCTGTTTAACGGAAAGAAGATTTTTTTAACACATTTCTAAACATAACAGTTTAAATACCTCATTTCTAATAACTGATTTATTTTAACTTGGCAATGATGACAGTTAATAATATTTGACTAGATATGTTTCAAGACACTAGTATTCAGCTTAAAGTGACATTTAAAGGCTTGGTTACCTAATTAACTAGGTTAATTAGGTTAATCAGGCAGGTTAGGGTAATTAGGAAAGTTATTGTATAATGATGGTTTGTTCTGTAGGCCTACAGTCAAAAAAATAGCTTAAAGGGGCTAATCATTTCGACCTTAAAATGGATCATAAAAAATTAAAAACGGCTTTTATTCTAGTTGAAATAAAACAAATAAGACTTACTCCAGAGGGAAAAAAAACATTATCAGACATACTGTGAAAATGTCCTTGCTCTGTTATACATTATTTGGGAAATATTTAAAAAAGAAAAAACATTCAAAGGGGGGCTAATAATTCTCAACTGTAAATACACACATGCAGGCATAAAATTGAAAACATGTTTATTTATATTTAGATATAAAATATATAGGTATATAATACAAGTTACATATAAATCCAAATATCTAAAGCAGTTTTGTTTACATGCACTTAACAAAATAATGTTTGTGGTTTGCTCAAACTACTTATTTAAAATAAGCTGCAACACTACAGACTTTGTTTATTTAGGGGCAACTTGATTGTTTTATGTTCAATCAACTAAAATTTGTAAAAACAAGTAAACTGACTTACTTCCTTGATCGATTGTGTGGAACCCAGCATTTTGTACAGTGTGTATGAATGTGCATCACATATACACAATAAATGCATATAAAACACAAACATATATTATGTAAAAGCAAATATTTCTTTAGTTTGCAATTAATCATGATTAATCTTTGCCCAGCTCTGAAATCTATACATTAAATGACAAATATTTGCTCATCTTAAATGCTTTCTGTTGTGATATGAGAGAAGCTGCACTGTACTTTCAGTAATGTGCTTGTACTTTCCTCTATAACAGCAGCTTATGAATGTGTTTTGCTCTCAGCTTGTGGTTTAATGTGCAATTTTCAAAAAGAGTTTCATTCGAAAGCAGATGAAATGAGCTTTCCAATTATCAGCTGTACTTCTCTTGTATAATATTACTTGTATTTGAAAATGATGTGTACTGTCAATAAATTGAACCCAAGAATCAGTGCTGATTTGAGTCATCTTGTGTTCAGAGATGTCAAAAAATCCGTTAAATTACAAAGCTTTCATCCATCATGGCTAAATGACGTGTCCGAGAAATCATAGAAGACAACAAAGAAGATGAGAGAAGCGTAACCATAACAAAGGCAGCATCGCCATGGCAACTTATTGTGCATCTTATAGCTTAATTCAGACAGCAAGACATTCTATTTTTCCACACCTTTGATGTCTGTCAGGATAATGAGAAGAGCTCAGAGAGGACAACGTGGCCATGAGGGCTTAAAATGAATGGTAGTGGCTTTTAGCTTTGATTAAATATTATGGAATTAATACAAGGTAAAGTTATAACATTCAAAACAATAAACACCAAAGCAAATCTGTCCAAATGCACAATTTCATGAGAATTATTTAGCTAAATTCCTCCTTTTGGAGCAGCGTGTGAGTAGTTACATGACCACATGTATTCATTTATTTATTTATTTTTTCTGAAATGTCCCTGGAAGATGTCTTGAATATCTCGTCATGCTTTGTGCAAAGCTTGAAAAGATGCCAGGCTTCAGAAGACAGAAAATCATCTTATTTTCTTTCTTTTCTTTTTTTTTTTACATAGAGCTGTCCAGTAGTGTGTCAGATGATGTGAACATTAACACTTTTCAGAGACAGTTCTTTCAGTACTGTTAAATCTCGTTCTTGGTGAGTCTAATGAAGTGTTGCCGTTGCCATGGTAGATATTAATGGATAAACATAGCGCTACAAGGTCACTCTGAGTGAGCGTGAAACATCTGCTTGCAGGAACAGCTCTAGAGCGAACATACCCAATGGAATCTGTAAGATGCTCAATTACAAATATGTTTTAGTATAAATAGGGTTTAGCGTGCTAATTATGGTTTATTGGTTCTTAGAGTGTCCATTACTTTTTGAGCTTGAATAGTCGGCCAACTTTCTCGGTTGCAGCAGTTTTATTTATTTTCAAAAGCTTCAAGTTTGATGGCAGTGAAGTAAGGATAGATAGACAGACAGACAGACAGACAGACAGACAGACAGACAGACAGACAGACAGACAGACAGACAGACAGACAGACAGACAGACAGACAGACAGACAGACAGACAGATAGATAGATAGATAGATAGATAGATAGATAGATAGATAGATAGATAGATAGATAGATAGATAGATAGATAGATAGATAGATAGATAGATAGATAGATAGATAGATAATTAAATTACACAAGGGGAATAAGAAAATGCTAAACTTTCAGTTATTTTAGGTAAAAAATAGACTTTCATTTTAGCATTTTCTTATTTTGTGCAATTTGTTTAATTATTTACCTGCCTTTATATATAAATTATTGCATATATAAAACATTAAATAAAATAAATAAATAAATAAATAAATAAATTTATATAAAAGTACACAAACTCCTGCATGAAAAATATTTTGATAATTAATAGTGCAGGCAGGTAAATAATTAAACAAATTGCACAAAATAAGAATATATATATATATATATATATATATATATATAAATATTTTAGATGATTTATTTATAAATGTCTGTTTCATTTTTACACACTTGTTAGCCAAATTTATATATATTTCCACCATGCAAGATTTATTTTCCACCTCATGTAAATTTTCTATGAATGAAAGGAAGGTTAGGGTTAGGGAAAATTTTTAGGAAATCATTTTTAGGAAATTATGTAAGTAAACAAATAAATAGACCAAAAATAAATATTCGTAAGAGCAAGACAACTGTAATTATATATAGTGTTGGAAAGGGACATGGGACAAAACAATTTCATGGAAAAAATAAAAAGAAGAAAGAGGAACACATAAGCATCGAGATTAACAGCATTATTACATTCTTACCAGTGACAAACAAATGGAAAAGAGAACAATCCGCAGCCGTGACTTTTATTATGGTGTGTATTCCACGACCAACCGGAAGAAGCGCGTTGTGGTGGTCGGCATTTAAATACCTCTACAAAGCAAATAAGTGTCATTCCCATATAAATATGAACCGAATTTTCGGTCGGAGCAAACAAGCGGCGTCTCCCAACCTTTCTGACTGCATAGGCAATGTAAGTACCGTGGATTTAAGAATTTATTGCCGAGCATCAGTCGAGCGTCCTGATTGGTGTTTTGATGTCAGACATGGATGTGCTGTGGATGCTGAGTGTTCATTATCCCGTTATTCTGCAGGTGGACACGAGGATTGAGTCAATCGACAAGAAAATAGCGAGAATCGATGCCGAGCTCATGAAGTATAAGGACCAGATGAAGAAGATGAGGGATGGACCCTCAAAAGTGAGCATCAGAAAGTCGAGTTAAATAAAGCAAACATTTTAATAATAAAAACAGGCAGCTTTATAAGTCTGTGATCACTGTTTGTTTTTAATGCATCTTTTACATATTATATAATATTATCATTGTAACGTGTAAATGTTTCTTTAAATTTAAATATTAAGTAGAAAAAATATAAGTTTTAATTTATAAGTATTTAAATTATAAAAACTTCATAAGAGTTTAATTAAATTTATAAGCATAAACAAGTCAATTATAATTATAAGTGATTATGTTTAGATAATTTTGTTTATAAGTATTTACAGTTTTTCTCAGTCGCTTTGGTGCAATTTTTCACTACACTGTTTACATTTGCACAACAGGTCATGCATTTCTCAAAACAATTAGTCATTTGTGCACATCCTAGTAGCAGTTTCTCATTCTTTTCAACAAATTGCGAATGCTTTTGGGCATGCATCAATTGCTTTCATACAACTCTCTGCTGTTTAGAACATTATCATTTGCTTATGTCATGTCAGTCAAAATGAACTAAACTTGTAAATGCTGAATAGTCATTCTATATAAAACAAATAGTCCTCATTTCATTACTTGAGTCATTACATACAAAAATGTTGAACTATGTGTCAAAATCTGTCAAGCAAATTTTTTTAACAAATTTAAATCTTTCTTTTCTTGAAAATGTCTTTAAAATTGAACAATTTGATGAATGATTTACAGACCTGTGTATGTTGTAGGTTCAGTTCTGATATGTACTGCAATATTGTGTACAGTTGTGCACAGGTCTACCCAAAGGAAGTTTATGTTTGTTGTAAATAAGGGTGTATTTATTCTTTTGCACAATGCTGTGAATAAATTAGGATTGCAAAGAGCAAATGCAGTAAAAATGTGAAACATACATATTCAGTGTCTTGTACTCAGATACCTCACTAAATGCAGTGATGTCTAACATTACTGTAGTTTTCAAATGGCAGTGCTAATAGTATCTAGTGCTGTCTTGAGCATTTTCAGGAAGTGTCACCAAAATCTGACTTTTTTGCATTGAAAAAAATGTCCAGAGTAAACTGTCATAATGAAAACATGACTAGGCTATTTGACTATCTTGTTCATAAACAATGGTGTCAGGACTTTTCATTTTAATGACACTGACACTTTGACATGAATACTTGCTTTTGAGGAATAAACTATCCATTTTGAGCATGTGACGCGCTTTTGCAGGTTATCAGCTAGGTTTTGCAGTTTGTACTAATTGTTTTGAGAAAATCCTTAAATGTTGTGCAAAAATGCACTAGTGTTGTGAGAAACGCACCAAAGCGACTGAGAAAAACTGTAATTATTGTACTTTTTTTGTTTGCCAAGTCTCATTTTATATTAGTTTCTTTACTTTTTTCTTAATTTTGACTTACATTTCGTTCAAAAGAATCACTCTTACACATAAATAAAAATACAATAAGTTTGTTTGAATGTGTTTCAGTTAACATCATATTTATGCCAAGAACTAAAAAGTTATATTTTTTTCAAAACATGATGGTCGTGTATATCAGAAAAAATTTCAGAAGGACCCAAAATCCTTAAGTACATCAATAAAGATCTTAAGTTTAAATTGATGGATGACTTTAACTATAATATTGAAATTATGCATTGAATTTTTTTAATTTTTAAAAAAGCCTAGAATATAAAATTAGATTTTGAATTTCACTTAAAACTAAAATATTGTATTTAATCTATCCGTAAGACTGATTCATTTAGTTTAAAATAAATGTAAGGGAAAATTTAGAAACATAGAAATTTATTTTTAAAAATATTTGTATCTCACTGTTAATCGTAAACAGTTGTAAGTATGAGCTGAATGATCTCTTCACAGAATACAGTGAAGCAGAAGGCAATGAGAGTGCTGAAACAGAAGAGAATGTGAGTTTGTTTGGAGACTAATGTGCATTTACAATGTATGAAATGTTTCAATATCAAGAATTGTGTTTTCATTTAACCCTGGAAAAAAATGTTTAAAAAAAACTTGTTTTTAATAATAATGTAAAATAAAATTATTATTCGTTCTTTCTCCACCACTATTTTTCAGGTATGAGGGCCAAAGAGATCAACTTTCTCAACAGTCTTTTAATATGGAACAAGCCAACTATACAATCCAGTCTTTAAGGGACACCAAAACAACAGTAAAGACTTGTTATTTTACATTACATCTGTCATTATTACTGCCAGTATTAGTTTCTGTTTACTTTAAATCACACGCAACCTTTGATTTGCAAAGATCCAGCTTATTTCATGTGATTTCTCTAATAAAATGATTGCATAATAATTTTTTCTTCCATAGTGTTCCCAGCACATCTGACATTTACATTTATTTGATAATGATTTAATAGATTAAAAGCATGCCCATTTTTTGTAAAGATGGTATTTTCTTTATATAATAAATGTTTATTCTGTATATTTTTGTAACTTTCTTAAATGTCATTCTGGAAAAAAAAAACATTTTCAACTACTGAACTAAAAAATGTATTCATTTATAACATAAGACATTGTCTTCTTAAAATAAATAAAATCAAAATTAATTCAAATTCATAAAGTTAATCTGAAAAATAATTACTGGTGTCATTTAAAAAATTTACGAATATTCTAGAAGGAGTCACTTTTTGTGCATACGGGATTCACTATTATTTATTTACTTTAATTGTTAGATTCTCCAGACTTTTTGTACTTTCTTAGGTGGAAGCTATGAAGATTGGAGCAAAAGAAATGAAGAAAGCATACAAACAAGTGAAGATGGATCAGATTGAAGTATGCCCGTCATTTATTTCGAGACTGATATACTGATTTTGATGTAAACTGATTTCCTAAAGTTATATTTTGGATTGATGATCTGCTATAAATAATATACACTTTTCATTACTGCAATGTGTGACTAATAGGACCTGCAGGATCAACTGGAGGACATGATGGAAGAGGCCAACGAAGTACAGGAAGCTCTCAGTCGCAGCTACGGCACACCAGAGATCGACGAGGATGAACTGGAAGCAGGTGTGTGTGTGTGTGGTGTGTGGTGTGTGTGTTGTGTGTTGTGTGTTGTGTGTTCACCTTTTTTTGTGTTTCAGAACTGGATGCTCTGGGAGATGAGTTGCTGCTGGATGATGATAGCTCTTATTTAGACGAAGCCTCATCTGCTCCCTCTATTCCTGAAGGAATGCCCAGTGACACCAAAACTAATAAGGTGCCAACTGCATTGATAAAACTGACCAATCAGTTACCTCACCTCCCTTTAGCAACTGTTGCTAACTCAGGAAACAAAAAAATCTGTGTTATAATATATTTGATCTGTTTTTATACATTTTGGAAATGTAAGTATTACCAATGGGAAAAAGTGATATGTAAAAGATTTAAAGATAAATATGATAGATAACTAGATGGATAATTTAGAAGTCAGGTTTACAGATCTCAGTGCAAACAGAAGAAAGCGATTTTAGGATCAACATTGTTTGTGCACTGCAGGCCAAGATTAAATGACATAACTCACAGGCCTATCTAACTAATCTGAGACAGAAGCTGTGATGCTGCGTGATGATTGTCTTAAAAGCACTAATTAAAAGCAATGGTGCTTTGACTTGTACATCCTTTTGACGTGTACATCCTTTTTGATCTTCTGGATGTTGGAAGTACTTATTAAAGTGTAGGATTAATGTCCATCCTTCAGGAATAATCTTTAATGTTCATCCTCTCCGGAATACTCAAATAAGCGTAAGAAGTATCCTTGACACATGGTTTTATCAGTTTTGTTGTTCAAACAGCATCAAATTGATGAGATTGTATCTTCAAGTTTTGGTGCTTCCTGTACGACTGATGCTCAACTGTTTGAGGGGAGGAGCTTACCGATTGGTCAAGCGTCTTTAGCCCCTTTTACACAGTTACACTGGGCTATGTTCAAGCTGAAACTGGTGTGCAGCGTCAACCGAGAAGGACCGGCACTTCAAACTTGGAAGGAAATAGTCAGACTTTGTTTAATGATTACTCGGGCCAGACGGAATCTGCAGACATTTTTTGCTATTTCTGCGCAGAATGTGGATGTGGAATGATTTTAGGAGTATCCTAACTAAAACCTTAATATATGAAATAAAAATTAATACCTTTTTAACTTGTATTTAATGTTTATATTGCAAATCCAATTAGATCCACTTTGTTTGGTAAACAAATCAGGTATTCTATATAATATATCTACTAAAAGACAGAAAATATTACTTTACAAACTGTATTGTAAATAAATTGTATTAAAAAATTATAATATTCAATAATTATACTGAATTTATTTTTAAAACAGAATAGATATACATTTACACACATTTACTCAAGTAAACAAACAGAATCAATGATAGGCTAAAAATCAGCGGAATTCTGCGCGCGCAGATTATGTGTGAGCCTAATGATCAATAAAACATTATTTTTTCAGTGGAATAAACATTGTATATTTAGATTTCAAATGGACTTTAAAGTCTGCATGAATTGGAAGTTGCTTAGACTTTTATCTCAATATGTTGATGTACTTCGAAACTAAAATGGTGGACAATGGGGCAGGCATCTGTCAGGACAGACAGTTGCTATGGTAGCCCTCAGGTTGACATCAACAGAAAGATCGCCACTTTAAATGCAGAAGCATTTGGTCAAACTCTGATTGAAGATTACCAAAACTAACTTTTTTTTCAATTAATGAACTTGCATGGATTTATTATTAATTTTAAACATAACAATATTAGCTAGCAAAATAATCATTATAAATTTTGATTTAACGCTGACTTTAAACATGTACAGTGTTTTTATTAATTTGATCAAACTCCTAAAATTCTCCAAAAGAACACGAAGACTGGCTTCCTGAGCTGCTATAGTTTAACTTTTGCATCATCAGAACAGAGTGTTCAATGCTCCGCCGTTTCCATTTCAAAAACATTTTGAAACATTTTTTCACGACCGAATTCAGCCCCGTTAAATTGTCATAAAATCACCTGAATGACCTCACAGGTAAATTTAAAATGTGCTGTTTAAACACAGCAGAATAATGTACATTTACAGGCAATATTACAACTTCTCATTCTGGAAACCTACTAGAATATCTTTTCTGTTTTTTTTTTATTCTTTTTTTATTAAACATTTTGGTTTTGAACAAAGCCCGGGATCCACCCAACAAAAACTGTCAAATATAATAAAAACAGTAATATTGTAATAATGAGTACAAAATCAGGATTGAAACATAAATGATACAGTCTCTCTCATATTTAACTAAAATTGTACAGTTTTTTTACTGGCACCATTAATTTTGGCTGTGGTGTATTCCAAACTAATAATGTCCAGTAGATAGAGCCTCCAGGATAGATCAGTTGGAGCAGATGGATCCAGCCATAGTTTCAGGATTGTTTTTTTTTTTTTTTTTTTTTGCAGCAGCAGCAGCAGCAGCAGCAGTCAGAACAACTGACATAATCTTTCTTTGGTTGATGTATAAGGAGAGTGAGGAATTGTCCAGCATGAGAAAAAGCAATGGGTCTCATTGGATCAGGGTTTCCATTAGTTCTGATAGAAAGTCTCGTACTTTGGTCCAGAATTATGCAATTTGGGAACATTTCCAGAACATATGTATATAAGTTCCTTTTTTTGGTATTTTTAAAAAGAGACGGATCGCACATGATCTCTTTACAGTAGTTTACTGGAAAGTCTGTGCATGTGAAAAGGGCTATTGTGAAATCATATTGATTATCATTTGGTATAATACATGTTTTTGTGATATGTTCAATGCATATTTGTGTTGATCTGTCTTAGGATGGCGTTCTGGTGGATGAGTTTGGCCTGCCACAGATCCCTGCTACATAAGAATCTGTTCTCAGAGGAGTTTTTTTTTTTTTTTTTTTTGGTATGGTGGAAGAAGTGTTTTTGTGTTGGTGTTTAAGTTTTCTTGCATTCATTACCCAGTCTAGCACATGGCTTTGTAACTATAATGTGTTGAACATAATATTCTAAGTTTATTTAGAATTCAACATTCAATTTTGCAGTCACTTTTAGTTTTTAGTTATCCAAAAAAGGCTCATTGCATGTGGGTCAAAGACAAAAGGCAAGGCAAGGCAAGGCTAGTGTATTTATATAGCACATTTCATACACAGTGGTAATTCAAAGTGCTTTACATAAACAAGAATAAAAGAAATAAGTATAAGAAATAAAAACAGCAAAGAATAAAAGTAATTAAGAACAAGGAATAAAAAGAAAAGAAAGACATAATAGTGTGATCTGTCAGACATGGCACAGTGCTCATTAAGTAAAGGGGTTTAAAAGCATCAGAATAAAAAAGGCAATTAGGATACTTACAACAAGAGTCATTCTATGGCTTTATTTATGAACATAACTTGCCAACAGATTAAAAAAAATAACTTAATGTTATTAACCCTGCTTGAGTTTCCTTCCGCTGAACACAAAAATGCTGATAACCTATAGACTGTTGTTTTAGGACACAAAAATAATATGGAAATTAATGCGTACTTCCAGTTGGTAGAAGTAGAAATATTTCTGCTTGTGTTTAACAAAAAAATAATAATAATTTGTATAGGTTTGGAACAAGTAAAAGTTGGAAAAATTAGTGGGGTGGGGGGTGGGGGACCAATGAATGGTCAAAATAATTATGCTGTTTCATTTTTCCATAAATATATCTGCTATGCTGAATGATGATGGAACATTATTTCGACACTTTATTTTCCCAAAACATTATTTGAACCATTAAAACAGACACTTACATTAAACTTTCATTTTCTATGTACCTGTACATAAAATGACTTTAGTAGATTTAATTTAACTAATTTAAAATAGGACTCTTTTAACTGTATATCTTTATTAATCGTATTTTTGGGTCACCAACTATGAATTGCCTCATTTTGGGGCTTAAGAACACTACAAAGAACTGTGGAAATTTAATAAAACACCACAACTTTTTTTGGAGTAAGGATTTTATTTTCAAACATCTTACTCTTGTTTAATGTTGTTAATAACAAATAAGCTCATTTTGTATTGTAGCAGGGTCTCATTTGAAATTTACATTTGTCATGTGAAATAAAATCTGTGTCCTTGTCAGGAGTAAATATGTCTTTACTCTAGAGCTTGTTGACATGTTGAACATTATTGTTGACGCAAAACCAAGTTTTTCAGCTCAGTTCTGGGTTGCATGAATGAAGAACCTGCTTGAAGCGGCACTGTACAGCAGTGTAGTACAAATAATGCTTGACGTATTACTTGGTCATGTTTTTTAACCCCATTAACACATCAAGATCTGAAATGTGAAATGCATCATTGGAGTCCGAGATGCAATAAAGTGTTTTTTTAAGAGCAGAGCATTTTTGTGTAATCATTGGGCTGTTCATCATGATACAATAACAGACATCAGAAAAAAGAGTTTTATTAAATGTCACAGGAACTAAATGTATTACATAGGCACATTACAACAGCTGCCAGACAAATGAAAAATATGTTACACTAATTTTAGTGCATTCAAAAAAATCTTCTTTTTTTTATAAGTTTGTTCCAAATGTTTTATGGAAAATAATTTATAAAATGGAAGAAATTTAATAAGCAAACTACCCACCTTTTCGTGGTAATTATAATAGAAAAACAAAAATTAACAGCAAAATCCTAAATCCTTTCAATTGTATGCTAAAAACATTTCAAAATATTAAATATTCATAAACAAGTCATAAGGTATCAACCTAGATAAAAGAAATTACATATTACATAAATTACATAAATATACAGGCCCATAGCCTGGTGAAAGGGGCGGTTCCTTTGCTAAAAAAGTGGACCTTTTTACAGTTATTCACCTTATTTTCTATTTAACTACAAAGTTAAGTATTACCGCATTTCAGTGACATTTTTGGATTTTTGGATTAGCTTTTTATTTTTGGATTAGCTTGTCAGGTGCAACCACACTTTTTAATGTACCAAAATTTTTAAAGATTTAGATGAAAGGAATATGAAAAAAACTTATTTAAAAAAGAAATCTGCTAAAGTTTTAAATTAAAAACTACATATCAAGGCTAAGTAGCCTGTGTTGTCATTTATTTAGCAAATAGCAAACTGGCCAGAACATTAGCATCACTACTAATAAAAAAAACTATACATAATGATATTAATAATAGTAACAATGTAGAACTTCCCAATTTTCTAGCCACCCTTGTAAAATAGTATACAATATTTGGAAATTCATTGAGAAGAACAATAGTCTAATTCGTATTAAAATGAACTTTTATAAGCCTAAAAATCTACTTTTGGTGCTTCATGCCTTTTTGTTGGTCACTTTTTCTTTCAAGAATTCAGATTTAGACAAAGTTATTTGTAAAATGTTTTCCCTATTTTAAAACAATGCAGTAGGTCAGTAGTGAAAGATGACTTAATTAATACCAGATACTTGGTCTCAAAGCCTTCTTTGATGAGTTATTTTCACAATTTATGATGGTATAGCAGTCCAAATTTGTCCAAATAAGACACATGAGCTAGGGACAAATTCTGAACCTTGTCAGTGGGGGGTGGGTCTTTCAAACCAGGCTATGGGCCTGGACAACAATACTATGTACTGTAAATAAATTAATATATACTATACTACAATAAGTTTTATAATAATTGGAAAGTCTTAAGTATATTTAATTTTATATGTATATAAACACACATAACCACACACACTTAAGACCTTCCAATAAACATGACGCTTATAATATTTAATACTTCCAAACTCTTTGTATAAACTTCACATGTATGACGAACATTATGCAACATATATACAATTGTACATTAGAGGGTTGTTTATACATATAAAATGTTTATATACTTTAATATATATAAATTATTAACTGCGTTTTGACTCATAGAAATCGCAAAACTATGTCAATAATACATATAATACTCCATTGCCCTTTTAAACTAAAGAAACAATGTTTTTGACAGAAAGCTTACATTTGTGAATATGAATTTTTGCATGTACGTTAATATATAATATTTATTATGCAGGCCAAAGGAGAGTAGGATGATATGAAGAAAATGGGCGTGACGCACACGATCGTCACTTCCGGTTGCACATGTACACACTGCAAAGTTGTGAAGCGCTAGCTAACAGTGTGCCGATATGGCGGAGAATGCCTTGACAGTGACAGTTGCTTATGGTAAATATGACAGACCTGCTTTCATATTTCAAAAAATGGATCGAAAATAAACGCGATCACTATTTAAATCGATGTTAGCTTGATGCGGTTCGACAGTGTTGAAGCTAGCTATCAATGAATGATATGAACATCACTCCACCACAGCTATTTTTCTATTAGCATAACTTAACTTACATATACAGGTTATGGTTATATATTGGAGTCGTCAGGTTAACTGCAACTTGTTGTTGAGGGGGGGACCTACAGTACAGTGCAAGTTAGCTTTCTGAATTATTCTGAGCAATAATTAATCTAACGATAATCATAATATTGAATGTTCTTGTCTCAGGCACAACCAAACACAGCATCACTTTAACAGGTCAAGATGGACATGAACCACTGTTGAAGGATTTGTGTGAGGCGCTGACAGAAGCCACCGGAGTACCAGCACCATCCCAGAAAATCATATTTAAAGGTAATACAGCAACATATATGCTCTGTTTAATGTTTCTGGGTTCTTGGGTTCCAAGTACTCACCGGCCACCTATGTTGGGTATAAACTACTGTAATTATCGTGAGCTGAATGAAACACCACAGTGTTTGGAATAAATAATTCTAATCTGAACTGCAGTAGTCTATGGGGAAATGCAATAATAACTATCCTCAATGATAACTTGATGTGGTTCTTTCTGTAGGGAAGTCATTAAAGGAAATGGAAGAGCCGCTGTCTGGCTTTGGAATAAAGCAGGGTTGTAAAATGATGATGATTGGAAAAAGGGTAAGATGTGTGCTGTGTTGTTGTTATTTTTTTTTTTTTTTGAAGATATATCTGTTCAGAGACTGACAAGCTGCTTCATTTCTACAGAACAGCCCCGAGGAGGAAGTTGAACTAAAAAAACTTAAAGATATTGAAAAGTCAGTGGAACAAACCGCTAAGAAGCTTGAGAAGGTGGACGGTGAACTCACTGGACTGAAGAACGTACGTGCGACATCACTATACCTGTTGTATAAGGCTAGGCACAATAGGCATTCTCATCATTTAATTCATACTGAAATGATTTTCAGGGTTTTCTTGCGAAGGAGTTGCAGGCTGAGGCGCTAAACAAACTGGACCAAAGAGTGAAAGTTGCTGCCGAACAGTTCATGAAGATCCTTGAGGAAATAGATGGAATGGTAATTGATTATTTGTTTGTTTTTTTTAGGTCATATTACTTCACTAAAAGTTTGACCTTGCACAATTGACTGCAATCTCATACATTTTTGAGGTCATCACCCACATCTCAAAATCCAATCAGTAAACAATCAATAGAACCAAGTGGTTGCACTGGATGTACATCACAAGACAGATGAAAGGATCTGTTGCTACTTTTGTTTCTTTGAAAACTGTTTAGTATTTATGTACACACACACACACACACACTCACCGGCCACTTTATTAGGTACAGTACACCTGTCCAAATGCTAGTTATTACAAATTCTAATCAGCCAATAACATGGCAGCAACTCAGTACATTTAGGCATGTCAACATGGTCAAGACGGTCTGCTGCAGTTCAAACTAAGCTTAAAAATAAGGAAGAAAGAGATGTTGGTGCCAGACAGGCTGGTCTGAGTATTTCAGAAACTGCTGATCTACTGGGATTTTCATGCACAACCGTCTCTAGGGTTTACAGAGAATGGGCAGAAAAAGAGAAAATATCCAGTGAGCCTTGTAGACGCCAGAGGTCAGTAGAGAATGGCCAGACTGGGTCCAGCTAATAGGAAGGCAACAGTAACTCAAATAACCACTCATTTCAACCAAGATATGCAGAAGAGCATCTCTGAACACACAACACATCCAACCTACAGCAGGGCTACAGCAGCATAAGACCACACCGGTTACCACTCCTGTCAGCTCAGAACAGGAAACTGAGGCTACAATTCACACAGACTGGCAAAAATTAGACAATAAAGTTTTGGAAAAACGTTGCCTGGTCTGATGAGTCCCGATTTCTGCTGCAACATTCAGATGGTACGGTCAGAACTTGGCATCAACAACATGAAAGCATGGATCCATCTTGCCTTGTTCAAGCTGGTGGTGGTGTTGAAATGAGTGGGGGATATTTTCTTGGCACACTTTGGACCCATTAGTACCAATTGGGCATCGTGTCAACACCACCGCCTACCTGATATAATATTAATCTTGTTACTTATGCACTGTATTTATAAACACTTGCATTTTCCACAGAGCTTGCCTGAGAGTTTTAGCGATTGCAGGATGAAGAAAAAAGGACTTGTAAAAACTGTTCAGGTAAATCTATGACATTTACATTAGGCTAGAATTAATTAGACACTTTTGATATTTAACATACACATGACTATGGACACCAGTTTTGTGCTTTGCCATGGGATATTTTTATGTAACTGACTCTAAAACTCTAAAACAAATTGTGATTTGTTTAATCATTTAAATTTCAGAAAAGAATGCAGAATTGTAATATAACTCAGAATTCAGATCTTGATTTTTTTTACTTTGCAACTCTGAATTTACAGATAATCAGAACAATAAAAGTGAATTCTAAAATGCGAGATATCAAACTCAACTCAAAATCCAGTTATTGTTATCACTTGCAATTTTTCAGTTTCAGTCCTGCAGTTAACTTTCTAAAGCTCATAATTGGGAACATTTGTGATATAAATGAGAAAAGTCAGTTACTGGTCCCACAATAGATAACGCATGATTCACCAATCTGATTTCCAAAGCTGCGGTCACACTGGAGTTTGAGCATGCAAAATTCTGTGGTACGGCGCTGTGAAATAGGCGGGATTAAACAAGATGATTAGAAATTTTAAAAAAGCGAGCGATTAGTCCATATTTAAAATTTTTGTACAGAGTGGTCATGTTTTGATCCTCGATTGGTCTCACGCAGTCAAGTGATGCGATTTCGCAGGTAAGAGTTCACCAAGCTTGAACTTTCCAACGCAGCAAATTGTGAAACTTGATGCACCACCAGCTTGTGTTTCCGGTCTGATGCATTCGCGTGCGTATGAATAGAAGTCTATGGGGAGAAAAGTCCACTGACCGCAGCTTTACCCTTATTATCTTAATCTTAAAGAATCCCCTCTCCCACCTCTACACCTCCCTCTTTTTTCTAGATAGGGCAGCTGGCAGCCCAGTGGTTAACACTGTTACCTCACAGAAAGAATGTCACTGGTTTAAAGTCCTT